TAGTCACCAGAATGGAGGTTCGCAGACAGCAAGGGACCAATGAACAGCTATCAAAAGAAAAGAATGTCCACACCTTTATTTCCACGGTTCTGCGAGGCGTCTGTGGCCGCTCTGATCCTTCCCCCGCTTGGTCTCACCCAAGATGGTGGCTCTTCGAGCAGCTGAGCGTCTTGAATTAGAAAGCAATGGATTTCTTGCTTCTGCCACAAATTCCCCCAGCTGTAAGCCTTCCAACCTTCTAAATCATTCCTTTATATGTGGTTGAGAGTTCTGGGAGCATCCCCTGAGCCTGATTGGTCAGGTATTCTGTGTTGTTGCTTATGGAGCTCCTTTACTACACTTTCACCCGTTCCACCATCTTGTTTGTTTCTCCCGTGAAATCATTTTAATGGTACCCTTTGTCATATACTTTATTAACATACAACAGAAAAATAAAATGAAGGTTATTTCTTAGAGCTTAAGGAAAGGGTTATTTCTATTGTAAAAGTTCTTCCCCCAAAAATTGAAATCTGAAGTAGTTAATTGAATTTTCTAAAACACGGTTGCTAATGTAATTTAAAAATATTTTATATAATGATGAAAGAGACTAATAAAAAGCCAGATTTTAAATCAAAAGATTATTAGCATTTGGTCAAGGAGCCTTTGTAGTGTTGCAGTAGTTAAACACTCAGCTGCTAATCAGAAAGTTGGCAGTTCAAATCCACCCAGCGGCTCCACAGGAAAACAGTCTGGCAGTCTGCTTCCATAAAGATTGCAGCCTAGAATACCCTGTAGAGTGGTTCTACTCTGTCACAGAGAGTTGCTATGAGTCTAAAGTTGAATCAGCCGTGCCTAACAACATTACTGAGATCTGCAGAACATTCCCAAAGTATAGTGGGTGGTGGTGGTGATGTGCATATGAATGTGGTTGGTCATTTTTTATCATTTTTGTTCAGCTGCATAGTTTTAATCAATCATTAATCCTAACAGTATAGAGATTGACATTCTGTCCTCCTTTTCCTGCTTGGAATTCAAAACAGTAGAAAAAGTCTCCTACTTTTTCTCAGCTATTGATGGTAGTTCCTAGTATTTATACCTACCAGAATATTCCTGTTTGTGGATTTAAATGACTTTACGTCAACTCTATCTCCCATTTATTTACCTTTTAGGGATTCCTAGGTTCTCCGGGAATAAGGGTTGAATCAAAATAGTATTTAATGGAATGAAGTTAGAATTTATTGTATGTAAATGTTACTTAAAATTAGCTATTAGTTTCATTTGGATCATTGAAAAGTCAATTTAAGATATTAATGCTGATCTTGGGATAAGTATTCCAGTATTCAGCTGTAATTAATTTCACTCACTTTTAAATACAGCAGTTCTTATTGCACAGACAGTTAAGTTTCTGTGAAATAAATGAACATTTTTAAACACTTTTGACATTATCTTCCAGTCTTAATAAGGAGCTTATTAAAAGTACCTGATCCATTTGTATCATTTGTTCTTATTTCAGAAATAATTTGAATTTCCTAATGGGTTCTTGGTGGCCTAATCTTGAAGATCTTTATGAAGCAAATGTTCCAGTGTATAGGTTTATTCAGCGACCTGGTGATTTGGTCTGGATAAATGCAGGAACTGTACACTGGGTTCAGGCTATTGGCTGGTGCAACAACATTGCATGGAATGTTGGTCCACTTACAGGTATTAAAAAGAAGATGCTTTTAAAAAAGAATCATAAAGGATTATATTTCTAAAGAATTATACTTGATATGGAGTCCTAGTATCACACTGTAAGATAAGCACTGGACTATAACTTCAAGGTTGGCAGTTCAAACTCACGAGCCAGTCCTTGGAAACCTTATACAGGGTCTCTGTTTGTCAGATATGCAACAACAACACACCTGATATTCTTTTTTTTTTTCTTGTAATATTCACTGAAAATTGGAAGAAGAAAGTATCCTTGAATGAAGTCTTAATTATAGCGGAAGAAATTAAATCAAGTTAACAAATGGAAATCTAAGCAGATAGCAAATTTATGTCTTTATATGCACAGAGAAAATTATTTTAATAATTTTTAGAGTACTTGGTTTTATTTAATAAAAGAAACCCTTTATGGGAGAAAGCAAAAAGTAGAATAATTTTTCAATTGTTCATGTTTTTTTTATCTAGCTGTATAGTCAACCCTGCTATTTGGATTATGCCTGCTGTTAGGCATTATATACTTAACAATAGGTTTACAATAGGGCCTTTGGAGCAAGATTAGGACCAGGACTTGGCTCTTGCTACTGTGGGCCAGTTATCTCTCTAGGCCTCAGTTTCTTCATCCATAAAATGGGGATGATAAAATTAATAAGGTGGCTCTTCTTCTTTCTGCCCTCTCTTCTTTCTGCCTTCTCTTCTCTTCTGCCTCCTGCCTTTTGTCTCTGGCAGAGGTCACCTTCCTCACCCTGAATAAAAGTCTGTAGATGGGGGGGAAAAAAAATTAATAAGGTGATTATTAAGATTGAGATTATGTCAAAAAAATATCCTGGCATGTCATTAAGTACTCTTTACTTGATTGCTACTGTTATTATTACTATTGTTGTTGTTGTTAAGTGCCGTCAAGTTGGTTCCAACTCATAGCAACCCAGTATAGGATTTCCACAGAGCAGCTGGTGGGTTTGAACTGCTGACCTATGATTCGCTATTCAGTGCTGATCCTACAACACCACACCAGGAGTCCTTTTATTACTGTAATTATAAAACATAAAAATTGTTTTTGTGGTATTTTGAGGTTTTTTGGATTGATGTTGGAAGATATCACCTGAGATGGTATGGTGATAATGGTTAACTTCATATCTTTCGGTACTTTGGGTTGCTTTATTATTGTTTTTGTTTTTTTTTTCTAGCCTGCCAGTATAAATTGGCAGTGGAACGGTACGAATGGAACAAATTGCAAAGTGTGAAGTCAATAGTACCCATGGTTCATCTTTCTTGGAATATGGCACGAAATATCAAGGTCTCAGATCCAAAGCTTTTTGAGATGATTAAGTAAGTGTGTTCTAAAACTGCTGCAATCCCTGTTATTTGGTGGAGTGTTAACTGTTCAGTGCTTTTTTTCTCCATGTAGTTATGTTGACATCAAAACAAAATTGTCAAGGAATCTTAGCAAAATGTAATATGAGAATCTACATATAAAAAATATTTTTGACCTTCTAAATAACCCACTGTGATTCAAGGAAAGAACCAAGGCATAAATGATTCTAAACCTGTAGATCCACTGCTTATGCTTAGCCACTTTTCCCTGAGCCACCTGATTTCTCAGGAGAACTTTAGTGTTAATACTGAATGTGTGCCTTTCATAGCAGAGGGAGAGAGTGACATCACAAAATAATTGCTGATGTATAGAGATTAGCATTTAATACAGAGATTTGATTAAAAAGATAATTTTCTGGTTATTTAATTAAATCATCTATCTTATAATTGTCGCTTGGGTGGTGGTGGCTGTGTGCCGTGGAGTCGGTTTTGACTCATCATAGCAACCCTGTAAGGGTTTCCGAGGCTGTAAATCTTTACGGGAGCAGAACCACCTCATCTTTCTCCCGCAGAACAGCTGGTAGTTTCGAACTGCTGACCTTGCGGTTCGCAGCCCGATTCGTAACCTCTACGCTACCAGAGCTCCTTTTTTTTTATTGTCGCTTAGCAACTGTAAATACTGTACAAGTTTTTTAAATTCTTACATATTAACTAAATTTTACTCTATATTTATGGTCATCTCATTTGTTATCATAATTTGTATCCTAGCTAGTTTGTAAATCTTTTCACAAGTAATGTGCTATATAGCAGTGTTTCCCTAAGCTATTTTCTACTAGGGAATTCTGGTCAAAGAAATTTGGAAAATGAAGGATTAGTAAAGTTCAACAAGTTCTTGCTTTTTTTTGTAAATGTTTTAGAGACTGTTATGTGTTCATGTGTTTTGTGAATAGGGGAGAAAAAAGGGTTATAAAGTATAGTATTTTGCGAATTTATTTGACCAGTATTTTTTCGTGGAATCAGTCTCCTCCAAAACACATCAAGTACTTTTCTTGTCATTTGAAAATAATCCTGCTTTATTAAAATGCTCTCAAATTTAAACTCAAAATTTTATTAAACAAAAATTGTCTGACCATGGTGACATGCCTATGAATTATTTTATGCTTTACCCATTGCACTATTTAATCTAGGGTTTTTGTTGTTATGTGTCGTCGAGTCGATTCTGACCCATAGCAACTCTGTGTAGGATTTCCAAGGAGCCAACTGATGAGCCTGAACCACTGACCTCCACTGACCTTGCAGTTCAAATGACTTTGCAGTCTTACACATTAGTCCACAGCGCCACACCAAGACTCCATTAATCTAGGGTAGTGGAAGACAAAAAGTATTCCAAATCATAATGTAGAAGTCATTTAAAAGTTCAGTATTCCTAAGTACCATGGTGTTGTTACGTGCCATTGAATTGGTTCTGACTCATAGCAACCTTGTATAAGGTTTCTGAGGAACAGCAGGTGGTTTGAACTGCCAACCTTGTGGTTTGCAGTCCACTGCTGATCCTACAGTGTCACACAAGGAGTCTGTAAATATAGCTTGGGAGTGGGGGGAAGAAGTAGAGTTGTCCATCCATTTATACAATATGGTGCTTTGCTCTGAGTAACAAGTTCAGTTTTACTTTGGGGAAGAAAATTATCTAAAGTCCCAACAGATACTTGCTAATTTGGAGATAGACATAAACTCGATGCTAATTCAAATCACCTAAGATAAAGGAATGGGACAGTAAATAGAAGGCTTTATCTTCAAGTGAGTACCCCTGATGGTTCCTCGCTTTGCCAATAAAACCCAACAGCTATATAGACTGAAAATGACTTAATTCAATTTTGGATAGATTAGGATTTTATAAATTGGAAAAGATTGTAAAATTCATTTAGTTAAGGTAATCCCATCTGTAATATAAATAATTTGTGGTCATCCAGCAATTTAAACATTTTCTTTGCTTCATTGTAATTTAAATTATTTACAAATTGAACTAAGATCTACCTGTTATTTGGTCTCAATTCCCTAAGTGTTATTTGGGCTTTTATGCAGGATAAATAATTATTCAGTAAATGTTTAAGAATAAACTCCATTCCTAAAACACAGTGTTTTACGAATGGAGGATTTGACACATCAAGGTAGAGGATGAAGTCCTTGCCCTTTGGGGACTTAACTTCTAGTGGAGCAAGACAGACAAGCTCCAAAAAGTTAAAGTAAACTACTGATAAAACAATATGTATAAGATAAAATAGAATTATATTTGAGGAAAAGGGCAGGAAGTGCTGCTTTTGCTAAAGTAGTCAGGGAAGTTGTCTGAGCAGATGAATTTTATACTTGGACTTGAATAATGAGATGGAATCAACCATTTGCAGATCTTGAGGTAGAATATTTTATGCTCAGAGAACAAGTAGAGACTGAATTAAGAGCAACTTTGGCATGTTCTTGGGAAAGAAAAGCCTGTGTGACAATAGCAGAATGAGGGAAAAGAAAAGTGGTAGTAATAAATAATGAAAGGAGCAGGAACCAGGTCATATGTGGATGTTTAGGAAGTATGTCTGTGCATATTCTGATTGCTACAGGTCACCATTAGGGGGATTTTAACTGATGGGTAGGTTCTAAATCGAATATGTTTGCTTTGTAGAAGATGGATTTCAAAGGGCAAGCTTGAAAGTATCAATGAGCTAAAGCTCACAGGCCATGGTCATAGATTGGATGGGTGGTGTAAGAGGGGAAAAGGAATCAAGGAAAGATTGTTATCATATACTGTTCTGTCGGGGACCAGCCCCAACAAACTTATTAGGGGGCTCACGAAGGGAGATGTGGAGTTGGCAAAAGAAATCACACGCAGTGGATGGTTTGTGCTGAATTTTGATTGAAGCCTTTATTTATTTATTTATTTTTTTTTACGTAATTTTTCAGCTCCTTATATACTGTTACAATACACTATCTCATAACAATCAATTTCTTTGAAGCATTACACATCCTTGATTATATCAATTTTTTTTTTTTTTTTTTTACACATCCTTGATTATATCAATTTTTTTTTTTTTTTTTTTACTTTGTGTCTATACAATGTTGACAAAGGTATTTTTCTTAAAACAGTTTTCTTGGTCTATTCATATCCAGTTCTTTTCATCCATCTTTCTGACACCCTAAAATGTCAAGTTAACCTTAAAACATAATTCTAAATCTTAACTCCTATTTTTACCCTCACCTATTATTTTCTATAGATTCATTAATCACTACATGTACCTACACATTATTTTCTATTGTAACTGACAACACAGTTGTTTCTCATGATTGATTAAACAAGAAAAACAAGAGCATAAAAAAGCACTTAAAGTTTTGTAGTTAAGAAGAAACGGAACAACTTCCTTATACTAACAACTTCTCTATTCAAAACATCTAGTTAAATTTCTACTTAAGATCTATTACTGTTCCCTCAGCTCTTGATTGTGTCTAAACTACTTTCCAGGGGTCTTAATATCCCTGACTGAAACTACACAAAATGTAGAACAGAATGTTGATTATAATCTTAAACTTGAATTGGCAAACTTTTAGCTGGTGAGGTTTCTCCTAGTGGTGAAACTTATTGTTAATGTAAAAAGCAATCTTTATAACTACACATGATTGAATATGGTGTGAAAGTGTCTAAATGTAATTTTTAACCTTTAATATGATCATTGAAGAATTCTACTAAAAACTTCTATAATAAAATCAAGAAAAATAAAAAAATAAACTATTCATAAAAGGAAAAGACAGAAACCGCAAGGCCCCCACATGAGGTTCCCCTTGGGGCTTTGCCAACCAAGGAGACACTCATTGTTGCTTTGCTAAAACAATGAGCTTTTCATGTGCAGAGTCTCTCGCCGCTCTGTTCCTTTGTGGCATGGTGTCCGCCACTGTTCTTCATCTTTCACTTCTGCCATCTCTTCCATATCCCCACGTCCCATCATCCTTGTCATCTTTCTAGATAGATATCCCTAGTTTATCAATGTCCCTTTTGATACTTGCACTGTTGGACATTGACACTTGCATTGTTAGTTACAAAAGATGTCTTATGTTGAGCAGCTGGACTCTAGATTCGTGGAAAGAGACAGATTGAGAGTTGGTGGCCAGGAGGCAGACTTGCAGAATGTGCCCTTTGGTGGTGTAAATTATTATATATGCCTGAGTGTTTTTTAAAAAAGAGAGCTAAAATGAATAGCGAGAAATACTGTTAATTGATGGTACATGGAGACAACATGGAGGGGATTATAATCATTATACTAAAACAAAGTATATGATTTGTTGAATGTAAACCTGATGATCTGCCCTGTAAACTTTTACTCAATTCACAATAAAAACTTTCAAAAAAAATAGATGTCTTATGTTAAAATTAGACACAACAAATTTAGATGTTTTTCCTCTTAAAATTGCTGGTTATACTGTTCCCTATACCTTCCTTGTAGCGTAGTGGTTACGTATAGGACTGTGAACCACAAGGTCAGCAGTTCGAAACTACCAGCTGTTCTGCGGGAGAAAGATGAGGCGTTCTGCTCCCGTAAAGATTTACAGCCTAGGAAACCCTGTACAGGGTCGCTATGAGTCGGAACCGACTCCACGGCACACAACAACAACAACAACAACAATACCTTCCTTGGTGCTGTATTCCATTTTATCCTGTACTACGAAATATCCAATCATTTGACTCTTAATTATATTTCTGATTAATAATTGTATTCCCAGCTTGAGTTGTCACTAGATTTGATCAGCAAGCAATTCTGTCATCACACCAACTGAAAATGTTAACCAGGCCCCTATTGTAAGGTGCTGTCGAGCCAGTACCGACTCATAGCGACCCTGTGTACAACAGAACGAAACTCTGCCTGGTCGTGGACCAACTTCACAATTGTTGCCATGCTTGAGCCCACTGATGCTACCGCTTTGCCAATCCATCTCTTTGGGGGTCTTCCTCTCTTTCTCTGATCCTCCACCTTACCAAG